GTGCAGGGATTTCTTCAGGCTGTACCACCCAGTGCCGGAATTTGCTGGATCAAAAGGGGTCATATCGCCCCGGAGAAAGGCTTTGAGCTCTTCGCGCTCTTACCAAAGTGCCTGTTTCCCCACACTTGCAACAACAGTGGATGTTAGGAATCTTTTTAAATATGAACACAGCTAATAGATGAGGTATTCAGATATGCTGGTTGCATTAGTTCATATCTCCGGAGACACAGGGGCTTTGAGGAACATGCAGACAGAAAGCATTGAGATGGAGTTTTCAGTGACGTGCACAGTCTCTGTAAATATTTGTCAGAGGTATTTGGCTCTAAGCAGAGTATTTAACATTTGCTGTTTAGCTGTAGATTCCGTTTCTCCACTGCCTTCCTGTTCCCTTTGGTGTGGACTGTGGGATCGTGGGTCCTTTCTTTTGAGTTAAGTCCTCTGAATGCTATACTAATGCACATGCCTCCACACAGAGTGATTTCTGAAAACTCAGTTGAGGAGCATTATTTCCTGGGGTATATAATAAATATCTAGTTTGATGTTTCCCCTTGTACTTCATGCCCATTTTTTTTTTTAAGGTAGCCTTGCTGAGAACTCCGATTCTTTCCCCCATCCCCCCACCCCCACCCCATAGCCGTGTCCGTTGTCCTGTGCTTGATAATTCTGTCCTTTCAACCTTCGGAAGGTTGACAAAGGTTGGAAGCCCACATCTGTCTTCTTAGCAGTCCCCACAAAGTGGTGGGGGGCTGTTCATCGTGTGACAGTGACATTTTTTTCCCCTAGAGTTCTTAACCTTCCTTATCGATGTCACACAGCGTGGATTTCTGCATTTTGTTCTTCTGTTACAGTAGACAGTTTTCAGGTGTCTGTCTGCTTCTTAAATCGTCTCTGACCGAATTCATTCTCAGGTAGCTGGCTTAGGAGCTGCTGGTGAGCAGCCACATACCGTAAACTGACTTTCAAAGGGAGGGAAGTAGGACTTGCTTTAATGTAGCAATCTCCGCACTCAGTGCCTGTGTCTGATCTTCTGCCATGGCTCATTCTAAAACCCCGCTCGTCTCTCCAAGGAGCCCAAACAGAACAAGTTTTTACAAGTGCACCTCGAAAGTACATTGAGAGAAAACCAGAATTTATATACCCTATCATGGAGGAAATAAGGTCATTCTTAAAAGAGTAGTAATTGCCCACAATTTACTTGAAAAGTCACTTTCTTCCCAAATTAGTGTTTGCTGTGTGCCACCCTGAGGTCTCAGTGGCTCCACAGCCCGTCAGAAGCCATGAAAGGAATGAACAAGAACGGCATGGACAGGCTGAGGAATTTGCTTAGGCTGGCATAACTCACATCCACACTGGGGTCCTTTACACTTCACGTTTGAGTTCTTGCTAAAATAACCAAGCTCAACTAGATCTTTGTTTCACTCTGTCTGTCGTGTGGAAGCTTGTCATTTGGAAGACTTCGTGGATGCATTTCCCACACAAAACTTTATAAATCAAGTTTGGTCTGACACACTCCTGGAAACCAGAAATTCTTAAATTGGAATCCTGGTTTTAGACTTGAGTCCTCGCGTGGCCTGGGGCGAGTCATTTAGCGCCTCACCTCCCTTCTTGCCATCTATAAAGGATAAATACTTGTGTCTCAGGGATGTTGAAAGGATTAATTAGTTCGTCTGTAAAGCACTTTGAAGATGAAAAGTACTTTAAAAGTGCTTCTTAATAACATTATTGCTTAGAAAAGAGTGCTACTTTTATGCTAACCACTTCACGTCTCAAGTTATATAAAGAAGGCATGTTCGTTACATTAGTAGTCATAAACTGGAGATAAATCTCTCATGGTGCGAACATCAAATATTTCCTGCAGAATTTCAAAGGGGCATCACTTTATCTTGGGGGGCCATTTAGGAGCAGCTTTCTGTTCAGTAATTAGTTATGAAGATCGTATTTCAGGCAAAAGCAAACCCTTCACCCAATTCAGCCATTTTTAAATTCAGTCAGGTTTTTTACAGGTTAACTTGAAAGGGGTACACTCCACTCTAGTTGGTACAAGGAGGATTGGAAAGGGGAGCGTGTTAATGTTTTTGTGGAAGAGGGGACAGGAAAGAAGAGAGAACCGTATTCTTTCCCTCTTGCTTCCTCGGCCCCATCCTCCCTTTTCCATCATGGGCACCCGTGGGTTCTCCAAGCATTAGAGCTCACGTGGAAACTCACTGCGAGTCTTTGTCTTGAAGCTTAATTCCATTTTTTCCCTCCAAACCCAGTTCACAGAAAGGGCCACTGTTCTGATTTTATACTAAAACATTACTATTGTGACATGCAGTGAAGGGTCACGTGTACAAGATACAGACTGAACGTCTTGGTTGTAAAGCCAGGTAGGGTGGTGTTACTGGTTCAGATGGCACAGCAGACCACGGCGGGGGCACAGAGACCCTAGAAAGGTGTGGAAAACGTGATCAAGAAATGTGATGAAATTTACATTTGGGGTAAAGTATGATGGGACGAGTAATTCAAGTAAGAAAGTGGAAGGAAAAGGCACCGAGAGAAGGAACAGTGCGTGAACAGACTGAATCGGATAGAATTTTACCCGTGGTGCTTTCATTTGCTGTCTGTGGTCAGGCGGACTCATGTTTGGGGGTTCGTGCTGTGGGTGGTGAGTGTCGCCCCGGGAGCTGAGGGCGGGTGGAGAGAGCCTCCGGACTCGCTTGGTACCTCTCCCTGGCTTCACCCGGAAGACCTGCTCGGGGTCCGCTCCCTCGGAGAGGTGGCTGGGTTGCCGAAGCGTGAAGTGCTCTGCTGCCTGCCTGGTGTGGGGCTTAAATAGAAAAGGCTCCAGAAACATCTGTGCCACTGACCATTACGGTAAATTACAGGCTGCAGAGACGGTGCTCCTTGCCTGTCGGCTTCAGAAGTGTGGTTTAATGAGATCAGGAGCAGCCACAGAAAATATATTTGGAACCACCACTTAAGATACTAAGCGAGCGGGTGTTTTGGCAGCTCTTTTTACTGTGTGTCTGTCGAGTGTGAGCAGTGACTGTCGGCCCCGATTCGTTCCGCGATTGCGTTCGGTGAATGCCATTTTCTGGCTTCCCCGCGAGCGTAACAGATTTTCTTCATGTGAGCCATTCTAATTAAAACTTGTTTCGAATGCTAAATCAAAACATACTGCTAATTAATGTGTCGTTCTCTTAAATCTCCTCCAGTAAAACCCTTGAAGATCGTTTGAAACTCGAAGCAAAAAATGGCACGGTGAGCATAGCAGATACCACAGTCGGCAGCAAACAGTTGACATTCACGTTAAAGAAGGTGAGTTTTCTAACGTGATTTTGTGAGTCCAGTCGTGCCGTGCACTCATCTGACCTCAGCACGGCCGCCCCAAGCTTTTCCCCTTTGAGGAAGCTGTGTGCCTGTTCTAGCCCTTGTCCTGCAGCCAGAGCCCCTGCGGGGTCGGGAGCGAGCGCTCAGCTTGGCCGAGGCCGGAGCCGGAGCCGGGCTCTTGCTGTGCTGCGGAGACGGGACCTTTGCGCCCCGGAGCTGGTGCTGCTGGTGCGGAGCCGGCCGTGTGGTTTCTGGGTCACTGGGCCGCCTCCGGAGCGGCCTTGCCAAGAGAAAGTCCTGCCTGTCCAGGGCTTAGAGAACTCGTGGTAGAATGAAAATAAGATGCCTCTGAAGTTACTCATGTTTTGCGAAAAACCGAAGAAGCACAAAGAAGTACTTAACGTGTCCCCAAGGTTGAGTCAGGCAGAGGCTGTGAAACTAGATCAATTTATGTTTGATTTTGCCTGTTCATATCATTAGAGCAACAACATTTTAACTATTAAAGCTCACTTTTAGGAATAATTAGGGATTTGTGTATTGTCTAATAAAAATCTCCTTTGATACTAGGTATGTGATTTATTTAGGTGAAATCTCAGGTTTTTCCAGGATTTTCATATATGCTTCTTTTTTTTTTTTTTTTTTAAGTAAACTCTACCCCCAACGTGGGGTTCAAACTCCTGACCCCACTGTCAGGAGTCACATGCTCTATCGACTGAGCTAGCCAGGCAACCCTAATAGATACTTTCTAATGTGTGACTAAAATGTAAGGGGAAAGTTTATGCTTTAGTATTATTTACAGTTGTATAGTGGCAAAACTAGGATTAGGTCCCAAATGCAGTTTTCAGGTTTCCTGTACTGCAGTTTCTCATCAGACCCATGGCCGGGTGTGGGGCTTACACATGTCCGCATCCCCCCCTTCTCTGGGCCAGGCTGCTGGCGACTGTGGGTCAGCAGCTGGAGCAGGATGGAGAAGCAGAAGGAAAGGAAACTTGGGAGATGAGCTGCCTGGACCCTCAGTCATACGGGATTGGGCACGTGGTGCTGCCGTCGTCTGGTGCAGCCTTTCAGAGAGAGGCTGGCCAGAGTCCCTCTCTGGGTGGGGCTTTGTCTGCGGGACAGTCACTGCTGCTTACAGGCTCCTCTGGAGGCTCCTGCCTTTGTGGGGAAGGCCTGGCAGGGCTCTGCAAAACGTGCTGCTGGAGAGGGGGAGGTACTTCCGGGAGATGGCTCTCCCAGCAGAGCGTGGGGAAATGCCTGGGACTAATGTCCACCCCGAAGATGCAGAAAAGTGCCTAACCGACAAGCTCCAACACACCCTGTTTATCTTTATTTGGTACATCATTTTCCAAAATTGTTTGGACAGGAAACACTTTGGGGGATACTTTTTAACATGAAGAAACAAAATATTAAATCACCGGTGTTTGTTGATCTTACAAGGGTCTTGGTACCATAGTTTGGTGTGCTGGTATGCAGGTTTTCCGAGGATCCCGTTAACAAGTGATTGTCAGGTATCTGCTCTGGGGTGTGTGCTGCAGGAACACAGAACCACACAGGTGTGGTCCTGGCTCCGCAGTTCTCAGTCTGTTGAAAGAGGGACACACCCAGTTAGGTCATTATGGTGGTGGCAGGTGCTCCAGCAGAGGACGGGGGTGGGGGTGGGGGGAGCTGTGAGAGCGTCCGGGGCCCGACCCGGACAGAGGGGCTAGGGAAGGGGGAGTGATGTGCGGCTTGGGTCTCTAAGTTGAGCGAGAGCCCTGCGGGGTCAGGCAGGGTGCCAGGCGCAGGGTGCCGCTAAGGCAGCGCTCTTGCTTGAGGAAGGGGGAGGCCAGGCGTGCTCGAGGGTCCGACGAGAGCCTGTGTGTGTAAAACGAGCTCAAACGGAGGAGCGGCGTCGGATTCAGCCAGAACTGTGCAGCTCAGCCCTGGAGGGCCTTGTGAGCAGGCCATGGCACGCAATTACCCTTGATTCTGAGTAGAACCACGCGAAGCTGTTGAACAGTTTTAGTTAGCAGCAGACCGACCCTCTTTATTTCTAAAACCTGACGAGCTATTGCGTGAGGAATGGGCCGAAGGGGCCCGGAGCGGAGGCACTGGGGATGCACTAGGCAGGAGGGGACTGGATGGGATTTATTGGGGCTCTTGAAGGAGTAGTAATAATCAGAAAAAGAACTTAAGGCATTATTCAGAGTCCCAGTTTCAGAGCTTCCTAGAGGAAGGGGACTCATCGGCTTTGTGTCTTACAGATCGCTTTCCTTCCCCACTACTCCCTCGCCTCTCACCTCTTTGATTTCAAAATATTGAATAATACCTGCTGGAGGTGAATACAGAGACTTCTCCTTCAAGAGCAAGATACAAAGGACTATTGTAGGTGCACAGGGTAATATAGACCAGTGTAAAGCAGGCCTCATGGGTGTCTATAAGGCAATGCTTTTCAGCTTTTAAAACTTCTGCTCCATCAGTGCTTTCTCAGTTTACCTTTTGTGCAATTCCAGCAGCTGAGAATATTTTTTTGAGCTTTGCATTCAAGAGTTCGTACCCTTAGAACCATCAAAGGTGATTTTAAAACCAGGCGGCTCTGACCTCCGTGGTGGGTTCTGCATTGGCTCTCTCCTTTCTGAGAACTGCTGCTGACAGCCAC